AAACACACAGACACAGGGTACTTTCACACAAGACAGTGGCTGCCCAGTCAGCTGCTATGCCAGGAGAAATACCCAACCCTTTCTAAACTAAAGTTTTACGGGATCAAAATTTTTAGGAGAGGAAAGGTTTACAAGCCTGTACAATGTTGCAGAATGTTATAAAAATGAAAATACTAAAGGAGACTTTTGAAGAATGGAATCAGAAAATAATAACCAAGTCATGGAAAAGGATTTTCACTAGATCTACAAAAGAAACTGGCTGAGGTTTTAAAATGTAAAAGGGAAATACAAATGAAAACCATGAGAGTGATCTGGATAATTTTTTCCTACTGCATTTACAAAAGAGGCTTGTTAAAGCCTTGAAGAACTCTGTGTGATGGGACAAAGAAGAAATGAAGAGACATCAAATCTTACGATAATATTTGAATGAACCAAAGATTAAGATTGTTAGAAGTAAAAGGAAGGAATATAAAGTTGGTTTCATACAAATGAAAACCATGAGAGTGATCTGGATAATTTTTTCCTACTGCATTTACAAAAGAGGCTTGTTAAAGCCTTGAAGAACTCTGTGTGATGGGACAAAGAAGAAATGAAGAGACATCAAATCTTACGATAATATTTGAATGAACCAAAGATTAAGATTGTTAGAAGTAAAAGGAAGGAATATAAAGTTGGTTTCTCTGATCAAGGTTAAAACAAGATACATTGTTACTTCTGGCAACCCCTTATGGACTTTCTGCTGATACCAGGACTGAAAAGATGCTTTATGGATTTGTTTATAGATAAAAGATGGGATATAGGATGAAGAGATGAATGTTTGTGACCTTATTGGGGGTGAAGAGTTGCTAAACTTGTGATGAAAGTTGGAAGTCACTTCTTTATATATTTCTTTTCTCTTTCTTTATTATAGCCTTACTTTTCTCTTTCTTCTCTTTCTTTTCTCTTTTTTCCTGAACTTTTTACTCCTTTCTATTCTCTTTCCTTTTTTAAATTTAGCTTGTCTTAGATTTTATGATTATAATCAAAATTCTTAATAAAAAAATTATATTTGCTATATATGTGCTCCAGTGGCAACACATGGTTGGAGATTCTCTAATCGGATAGAGAGCACGTTCCTTCAGAGAATCGTTGTTTTCCGCCACTCGGATTGCTTGTTTTATTTTTTTCAAAAAGAGAAAGGAACATGAGCTGCCCAGAGTCACCCACTGGGGGGAGATGGGTGGCATACAAATGTAATAATAAATAAATAAATAAATAAATAAATAAATAATAAACATGGCCTGACAAAGAACAGCTCCACCACAGATGGAGTTGGATATCCCATTCCATTTCTTTTGTGTTTCATGGCCACATTTTTATGAGCTCTGAGAGTAAATTATATACCTGGGAATTTACTGAAATAAATGTAATAAAAACGTATTTAAGAATCACTATTCAGGTATTTAGAAAAGCATAATGTAGACATCTAAAGATGGCAAAAGTTAAATATGTACTGGTTAGGAAGAATACCAACTGTAAAACTATTTTATCAAGGATCAATTATTTTACTGTTTTTTCAGTAAGAACCGGAAAAAAATTAAATATAAAGCAAAGACAACTAATGGAGGGGAGGTCAAACAAAAGACTGAGGATTAAATTTAGGATTTTGCAAGACATTTTGGAAATTATAGGTTACTGATTTGTTATAATAGTTAATATCTTATATATGGAGAATTAATCTGACTGAATATTCTTGTTCAATTTTACACAGTCTGCAAACATCTTTATGTATATATTTTGTTCTTCCATTTCTTATTCCTCTTTTGTCTTTGTTGTGCTTTTAAATACTTGTTCAAATAAAACAAAGTGATTTTTGAAAAACAAAAATGCCCACATTTATTACTGCATGAAAAGGTGAATTTCATTCAGAAGTGAAAATAAAGTTGTACGTTTTTTCCCCCATACCCCCAAGTTCATGGACCCCCAAGAGTCTAGAAACTCTGCACTAGACAACCCACAGATGCACACTTTGTAGCATATAGACACCAGATACAAAAGGGTCCAATGCTGATTATTTTCATATCCTATTTTCTTACCCTTTCATTTCCAGCTTTTCCTGTACTCACTTCTGTTTATCTTCTCTCCAAACACTATACAGTTTTTGCCAGCTTCCTCACCAAGTTCTTTTAAGCTTTTTTTATTGGGGGGGGGGGGGAGGGGGGCAGCAGTTAGCCAGTGTTGTGACACTGTTTTGCAAGGCAGAGTTTTTGGGGGGTTTTTTAAAGCAAAGGTTAGTTTGTTACTTCGGTTTTTTTAAAAATGCAGTTCCCCAAGATAATTCTTGCTTCATCTGTTCTTTTCTGTTGTGAATCATTGCAACATATTGTGGACAGAGGTGGAGTTAGAGAGCGAACTCCACCGGAATTCCCCTAACAGGTAAAAAGTGGTTGAAGCCCAACAATAATAAATCTCCCCCCCCCTTTTTTTTTTTTTTTAAGATAATGATTAGTGGGGATAATGGGGAAGAAGGAATGCCACAGCTCAGAATATACAAAATTCTTTTGCCAAATACACCATTTCTGAAAACCAGACTACATATGTCCTTTTTTCATTCACGGTGCTTATAAAATGTGAAATGTTTATGATGCCAAAGTGAAGGCCGTTTGAACAAATTTTTAGATAATCTTCTGTAAAATAAAGCAAACACAGAATGGGCAAATTGGTATCTGAGGTGCAGTCAAGTTCAAGAAAGAGCAGCCATCTGAAAAAATAAGGCTAAGTGGCAGGTATGAATTGATTATGGGCTATATAAACTTCTGCATTACATTAGCAAACAAAACAAGAATGGCATTAAATTAGTAGTGGAACAAAACAAGGATGGTTTTGTTAATCGTTTAATAAATAAATGACTCTATATTGTCATATAGACATATTATTGGTGCAACAAATTTAAGCTTTGATAAAACTGTGTGCCCGTGTTTGGTTGTTCTGGAAATATCAATACCTTGAAGGATCAATTTTGATACTTCTAGATTTAATCAGATGTTGCTATACTGTAAAATCAGGGTTAATGAGGTTTATTAAGTCTTGAGTTACACACAAAATCAGCTATAAGCAGGAATTAAACTAAAGGAAATTTGAAACAGTAAGCTAAAATCATGCATCATTATTCACTTCTCAAGTGAATAAACTGGAGCTTTCTAATCAGGGTGACCTCAACATTTCCTAACAAAACTTTAGAAATGATCTGTTTCAACAGTCGCCTGTTCTAAATATAAAATGCCTGTATTTGTCAATCTCACCACCACTACCCTTCCCCCACCCCCCCCAAAAAAAGGAAAAAGAAAGAAAGAAGGATTGCAATCAAATAACAAGGTTTTAGTAATGATGTTCAAGGCCCTTCTCAGTTCTCAACCCTGATAACCAAGGGACCATCAGTCCTAGTACATACCAGCCCAGATGTTTTAAATCTGCAGGTTGAAGTCTTCTCCAACTGGGAGGAGCACAAGTGGAACCAACTAGTGGTTTCCCTCCAGCTGGTCAATGGGAGAGTGAAAAAATGCCATCAAATAATTGTTCCACCAGCTGAATCACCACAAAACTCAGAATATCAGAAGTTTCTTCACTCCAAACAAAAGGGAAATAAAAAATATATTGTATTCACTGCAATTCTGAGCAGCTGCTGAAAGGGGAAACTTACTGGCTACAAAGACACCATTCCCCTGTTGTATTAAAAAGCCCCTAGCAAGGTGTGATAGTGGAAAGATGGCATATTGGGGGGGGGGGTTGCAATTGGTTTTCTTAGTACCTCTAACCATGGTTGTCTGCTACTATGGCAACTGGAGTTGCGGGATAAGGTTTTGTTTAAAATGCTCACAGGCAGGCACCAGGAATAAGCTGCTGAAGTTTAGGAGTCAGGAAGGGAAAAATGGCTGCTATAGTACAGAAGACAGGTTTTCCCATCAATGGAAAAATGGCGTGTCCACCAGCAGATTCTACAGAACTTTGGCACTGTAGATGGAGCGCTTACCTTTTTGGTGATTCTAGATGTGCAGAAGTGGATCAGAAATAAATCAGCTCAGCTGTTGAAGACAGACACAAGTATGAGATCATATTAAGGTGGAACTATTCCTGGAGAAAAGCAAAGAGTCCATATGGAACAGTCCTCTTCTAAAAGTGGGGTTAAAGTTAGCAAGCAAATGTTTTCAACTGATCAACCCTCTGAAGTTATTCCAAGCCTACATAGTGTTCATTTCCACAAAGGGTCAAAGACAACTGTGTACCAAACTCATCATTCCAGGAATGGAACTTTCCAGGAAGGACCAGAACAATCTATAATTCTTCCAGAATGTGCCAGTCAGATGATTCCAGGTATAGCTTGATACTTTTGCAAAGTTCAATTATTATTCTGGAAAATCTGAGGTGGCCAGACTGACACATTGCAGAACAGACCACTCTGCTGTTTTCCAAAATGTTCCATGCTCAGAATGGTGAATTTTGTATACCCCTAATAGTAGCTCATCAATGCTATGGTTTCAAATCAAATTTTGTTTACAGTCATTGGCCAGAATTCTACATAAACCATCAAACCAATAATAAAACTAAAATAAAAAAGAAAGGTATAACTAATTGCCTTCTCACATGGAAGCAATATATCGGAATTTAATTCTAGCCAGTTTCCTTACAGAGATCATGACTGATTCTCTTCTATTTGAATCATGATTGAACAATGTTAACATTTAAGCATTTTAGGTAGAAATTCTATTTGACATGATTTTGCATAGTTTTCTCTTTCTGGATTGCCTAGATTGATATTTCCTGGCTACCATTATCTACTCTGGTGATTCACTTAAGATAGATAGATAGATAGATAGATAGATAGATAGATAGATAGATAGATAGATAGATAGACAGACAGACAGACAGACAGACAGACAGACAGACAGATAAAATGGATCTATATTCTAATCTGATGCATGCATGCTTCTATTTTCCCCCTCTTTAGCTCTCATTCTTGAGATATGCAGCTTCATGCTTTTTATACCCTGGTGCTGGGAGTGTCATTGGTGAAATCATCAGATCCTGAGCCATGCAGATGTGAAGAGAAAGTCAACATCTGCACTGTTGTTCCTGGCATCAATGGACTGCCAGGAACCCCAGGAAGTAATGGCTTACCAGGAAGAGATGGGAAGGAAGGTCCTCCAGGGGCAAAAGGAGACCAAGGTACAACATAAACAGTCCCTTAAATATTCTTAGATCTATGCTGAGTATAAACATTAGGGCAAGAGCCATTGTTCAGTAATACATTATACACAATGCAAGCAGAAGTAAAGACTAGTAAAAACACTGGTGTTTCCACCAGAGAAAATGGAGAGTTTTCATTTATTTTCCTCCATAGAAAATGGATGGTTTATGTCTGAAGATCAGTGAAGATTCCGAGGTTCCTGCAGAATATTCTTAGAGCAGTTCTTTCATGGTTTCTGATCTTGTTGCGCATATTAACGGTTGCAATCAGTTTCTTCACGTTTGTTCATTTGTTTATTGAATTGGCAGGCTTACGAGGAATACAGGGGCCTCCGGGAAAAGCTGGACCTCCTGGTTCAAAAGGAGATCAAGGGGTAAAAGGGCAACAAGGTGATAGTGCAAGTAAAGGTAAGAGATAGCAAGGAGCAGAGATTTTACTGAATTCTTTTGGTTTTTATGTAAAATATTGGAAGGAATATAAGCTGATTTTCTTCTTTTTTGTAAGGGGAAAAGCATTCAAAGTTGTAATCTGGGAGTAAATACATCTTTATTGAAAGAAAACACGATGGCTGTTCTTATTATCCATCCTTTTGTTTGCTTAAAGTTTGTCTATGCCCTCTGTTTGTCTTTTGCATGGGTAGATTCATCAAATAAACTTTTCGTGGATCAGTTGACTTGGATGGATGGATGTTTGGATGGATGGATGGATGGATGGATGGATGGATGGATGGATCATTACAGTACTCTGTTAAGGCCTTAAAAAGCTGTCTCCTCTCCCCAAAGTCCTTCGCACCCATTGGGATTGGGTGAGGCTGGAGCCCAGTGATGGTTCTTGTTATTGGAGCGTGTTGCTTTAGGGTGCCTGGTGTTCTGGGTTTTTTTTTTTTTTGGATGTTGGTTCTTTATTGTTTCATATATGTTTTCATTGTTGTTGCTGTGAGATGTCCAGCCTTAGGTAAATAAATAAATAACAAGGAAGCAGTCTAGGGTACAAATGGCATATGGGGTGTAAGTTTATGGAGCAGTACATAACAGAATGTCAGGTTTTCTGATATTTTCAGACTCCTCAGAAAGAGCCTGGTAGCACCTTTTCAGACTAACACATTTTATTAAAGGCATAAGCCTTTATGAGCTCATGAAAGCTTGTGCCTTTTAATGGTATTTGTTCGTCTGAAATGGTGTCACTAGATTCCCTCTGATTTGTGGTTCTCCTAGACTAGCAGCTGTTCTCCCACAGCATTTCAGGTTATTGTAATTGTACAACTGTATCAACTTTCCGTGGAGAGCACCAGTTGTCACATATAATACTTTCACATGATTTTACAAGCACTTTTAGGCTGGTGAAAGTGAAACAAAACTCTTATTGTTCAGTAATAGATGATCCAAGAAGAATCTGAAATGAAATCCCTGTTCTGACCTCCAGTCCATCAATATTCAGGAACTCAATAGATTTTCCTGTTAGTTTTCTTGGTTGCCTTAATAACTCCAGGTGCCCAAGGATAACAATAACTCTACTAACAGAAGAAGAAGGGGGGGGGGAAGCAATCAAAACCAGCATCGAACCACTTGACCCAAATTCCTGGTGAAACAGCCAGGTCTTCAGTGCCTCATGAAGGCTAACAGGCTTGGGGCAGGTGTTGCTACTGAGAATTTTAAATGTAGTTAAAATTAATCAAATACAGTTGAAATGTTCATTTCCTGTATTTAATAATTTCCAACACCCTTATGTTATATCATTGGTAATTAGCTCTGGGGACTGAATGCAGTGCCTTAAGGGGCAACAAACTATTGATACTGTGCAAAGTAGTATTTACCTTGTGTGTAAAGTAAATAAGACTGTGTCACATTTAACACTAGGCACCAACCAAGAAACTAGCCTTTCAGACGTTGTCTTAAATTCTATTTTATTTCTGACAGAACCTAAGAATAATTCTCTCATGTCATATCCTTTAGAACCTGAAGTTCTTAAAACTCAGATTCAGGATTTACAAGCAGAGCTGGAGGCTCTAAAGGAGAATCAGAAAGGTAAGACAGAGAACAGTCTCTTCAGGAACACTTGCAAAGACTTTCATAAATACTTTCCTCTGATACTTCTGATACCTCTGATGTTCATTCAATTAATTTGATGTAAAGATCAGGATGGGAACGTGAAGTTGAGTTATCATGATGAAAACAGGTGGGAAAGAATTAATTTTGGTTCTTTTGTCTCTCAGCCATTCGAAGTCGTGCCTTCCCAAGCTTCACCAGAATAGGAACCAAAATATTTGCATCTAATGGAGCTGAAGCCCATTTTGAAATTGCAAAAGCCATCTGTTACAACTTTGGAGGACAACTCGCTTCTCCAAGAAACACAGAGGAAAACAACGCTGCAGCAAAACTGGCTTCAAAACTAGGACGACATGCCTTTCTTGGAATGACTGACCAGGAGACTGAAGGCACTTTTAAGCATCTTGATGGGGACACAGTAGAATACTCAAGGTGGGCAGCAGGAGAACCTAATGGAGAACATGAGGATTGCATAGAGTTGTACTCGGATGGCAAGTGGAATGACATTACTTGCAATGCAAGTCGGTTAATCCTCTGTGAGTTTTTATCTGACCATCCTTCTTTAAGTTTGTTAGGGTGGTATTAACAGATTTGCAAAGTTCATGACATTCACCTATACCTTCTAAATGTGATCAAAATGGCCTTATTCACTCTGAGATTCAAAGACTAGCAAGATTTTACAAGGCTTTACAAGGTTTGCTTGGGCAACAGTCAAAGAGATGAACTTGCACTGGACCCATTTCAATTTAGTTCATTGTGGTGCACTTTGAAGGGTACATAAAAATTAGTGTGTTTTCATGGGTAATGTTTGCACAGGGTTTCTGACAACATGACTAGTAGCTATGTATAGGCAATTTTCATGTTTAACAGACTGCTATAAATAATCAGCTATTAAATGGTCTCTTTAATGCAATCTTTATTTGTGTTTACTACTTAAATATATACAATGCGTATAATGATGTATTACACCAAATCAATATCATGTAACTGTCTTTTAACAGCTTAGTGGCCTTCTTACCAGGACCACTTATGGCTTTTAATCCAAAATCCTCTTGGAAGATGACAGCGGTTGGAATAACCTTTTACATTTTAAAAGAAGCCTAAATAGATCACTACTGCACTATTTTCAAGCAAGTTTGTACTCTGATCAATAGAGTGGTCAAACCAACTTGCACAGTGCTCTTGAAGAGGCTTTCTAATGAATTTCCTACTGGATAATCATCCTGCCTCATTCCCAGGATGTACAGACATTGAAAGTGTCCACATACAACCCTTCTAGTTTTTTCCTCACTGCTTTATGCACCTTTTTTTATCATCCATAATGTCCATCAAGGAAGGTAAAGATAAAGTTGACATGGAATTTATTTTAATGATTGGTGCTTGTTATTAAAGGTACCAAAGATTGCAGAATGATCTGATCAACCAATCGATCAGTTGGTCCTGGACTAAATAAAGGCCGACTGTACTCCTGAAGTGATGAACAGCAAGCAGAAACACATATAGTTTGGGCATGGGATGTGAGCAGATGATGGACTGGGGGGGGGCGGGGGAGATTATACTTGGCAAGATCGGAGGGAGTAGAAGGGGGGAGGAAATAGATAAGATGGATAGACGGGATTAAGAGGTTCTTTGGAATGTCCTAAGTAGTGTTGTGGATTATTCCCAGGGGAGTGGTTGGGATGGCTTGCATTTGCCCTACAGTTGCCAGTGGTTGGGTTCAATTCAATAACACCTAACTAATTAACTGGGACCACTCCACCAGGAGCTTCCTGCTTTGCGGTATATCACTAAAAGCAGATCAGCAAGGGGTTCAAATTGCAAAGTGTCACAAAGGTATAAAATTCAAATGGTAGACGGCTTTTCGTGTTGATGAGATGTCTCTTATCCACACTTCTGCCGAGGACTTTAATTCCCCAGTGGATCTCCAAATAAGTCAACAACAACAACAAAAAGGGGGTGGGGGTGGGGGTAGGGAATGTCCATCATAAGAAGCAAGACCTTCACTGATGTTTTACAGTCAAAGACTCTAATAATAATGATTTGCAAAACAAAAACTTTGGCTATACACTCCATATTAGGTAAAACATGTTAGCAACTGAAACATATAATAATAATTAAAAATAATAATAATTGGAGTGTACAAAATGCCCACTGCAAAGTGCTTTTTTGGAGATAGATAATGTCTCTGCATAAAATGAATGTTCTGTTGTGAAATTTTTGCTAAAGACAGAAGCACAATGTTGAAAAGAACCATGTCGATCATTGGGTGCCAATGATCACTGGGTGCCTGCTTTCAAGAAGGAGGGACCCTGAACAATAGAAAAGCATAGAATTTATACACTTTTGAGGTTGAGAGGCAGGAAATCTGAGGGACCTGATTCAAGGATAAGTTTGGATAGGTGTTAAATGGGGGATAAATGGTTTTTCTATTGTGAGATAAGAACTA